AAAAAAAGTGCCTCGAAATCATGTCTTCAATGTAGGCATTGAATCCGCTTCTTTTTTTTTCTTGGAAAATGCCAGCTATGATACTCCCAGTACATTGAGTCATTCACCAAACTCTTTATCTCTTCTCTTTCCGAGGTAATCCTTCCTTCCCGTTTTTGGCGGCACTTTTTCACAAAAATTTGTTTGTTTTTTTATGCATACATCACATGCTTTTCCAATTCACTTACTTCCTGCATCCTTTGTATTGAAGCTTGGTTGTGATTAGTCCTTTTTAGTTATTGATTCTTTCCATTTCCTGCCTTGCGTTGGTCCCGCTGAGTTCCATGGATCGCTATTCTCGTGAGTTGTCGCTACTTCTTTCTATCTACAGCATCTTCTGCCGTTACCTTTATTCCGAGGAGGTCCCTCTTGATCGAGTCCTGTCACCGCTTCCTTGCAGCTATTCGTGGTCGCTTACCTCAAGCTTCGATTTCCAATGCTTTTCTTGATAGATGATCCTTCACTGTTTTCAGTATGAGCCTATACTGTAGCCCACAGTCACTGCCCTCTCATCTTCAGGTGAGGCGAGGCTGTGGTTCGCTGGCCGTCCTGCCCCCTTCGCTTCACACAGGGTCCAGTTGCGTCTGCCAGAAGTCCATCTCAACATCACACTTTTGCGGAATGAAATTCATTCAAAATACGATTCTCAAAGAGGTCACCCTTCTTATCGGCTTGTCAGGTGGTCTTCGCAGCACTCGCCGATGCCATCGCAGGCGCTTCTCTTTCATCTCAAGCTGGACAAGGAGATTTGTACGAGAAGTGTTTGTATGGAGGCCGCAAGGTTCCATTCCTAACCCGGTCCAGTCGTATCCAGCCGCATGCCCATCTAAGCATACTCAATTCAGTGCAGTGAAATTGTCTCTCGTGATTTCCACCTACGGCCCACACTGCCCTAGAACATCAAGGGCCTCACTATTGCTCGGTACACCTTTCCTTTTGACCGTCCTGGATCACCGTCAGTCACAGAAGATACCGACTACTCCTTTTACTCCATCCGTTCTGCATTTATTAGGGTCTTTACAGGCTGGTCTACGCTACCATCATCGGCTAGGTCATTCCTCACGAAGTCCTGCACCATATTGATGACTTCACCTCAACCGACTACATTGAATGTCGGTCGTTTCAGATCGTAAAGGGATTTCCACAGCTTTGCTCTAAGTCGTCTGGTTCGGTATATGACGATCACTATTCTTTTCATGAAATCCTTTATTCCTTTTTCCTCGCGTTTTTTCCCGTTGTCGTGTTTTTCTTTCCTTTGCTTTTTTTTTGGGAGGCTCGATGGCTAGGTCTTCCAAAAGAGGCCCTTGCTGCGAAGCCAGTTCTTCGTCAGGCAATATCATTATATCCTCGACAGTTTTAAGAGGCGGTCTTACTATGAGCCCATGGTCGATTCCCAATTGTCTTCCTCCCCATTTCCTCCCATTCCTGTAGATAACCTTTTGAGTCTAATTTTCTACGAAGAATGCGCTGCAAATTCCAAGTCCAGTGACCTCGTGCAGGCTCAGATAAAGCTCATATTATTCGCATTCGGTTTAGCCGGCTTGCTGTACGTACACGAATATTATTTCCAGTACTCCTCTTTCGTGTCTATCTTCAGAGCCATGATTCAATCGCTAATCCTTCTGACATCTGTAGTGAAGTTCTTGATTCTTTGATCCTTTCCGGTGGGTCTCCTGGAGGCGTAAAACCTGAATGTTCCTGCACCTCATCAGATCAGCAGCTTTTCACGACTTCCTATCAAGCGGTCTTTCGTTCATTGTCCTAGTCCGTACTAACTTTTCCTGGAGTCGTTCATTCCTCGGTAGCTTCGTGCATTGCCCACAAAACTAGTGTGGGGCTTATGTGCGCCACTTTCTGGTGACGTCCTTGCATTATTGTAGAATCCTTTGTGACATCGATAATTTTCGTTGTGACGAGAACTAGCCGTCCCTTCAACTTGGGCCTACACCGGTGTACAGCGCACGATTTCCTTCAGTTTTTGCAGTTCACGCTTTCTGCCTCGGCCACTCCCAAATTCGCTTTTCATTTACTGATTCATTATTCATTACTCTGATTTTGCTGAATCGATTTTATATGAGGTGTTTTTACTGAAACATGAATCCTGCTCAGTAATCCTCTCCATGCTAGTTATTTGTTTTGAGTATATTCTAGACGATTTCGGTTAAACTGTTTCTCACGTCTCTTTCGATTTCCTAGAGTCTCATTCTTCGTCATTCTTGTAAACTCGATCGCGACAATCTACAAATCCTCAATGTTTCGGATGCCAATTTCATAGGCAAAATTTCAGGCAGGAAGAGCTGGAAAAAACCACAGACTCGATCTACTACAAGCTGATCGAAGTGAGTAATAGGGAAGCTGTTCAATGTAATAACAATTTCTCCATCCGCTTCATGGAGTTCCGGTTTAGGAACTTCCTCGGAGACGGGTGGTTGAGGAAGGTGACAGAAATTTACCATGTTTCAGATTCCGAACCGTTCGCGAATTGCCGTTCGATGGGCAGCTCTGAACATAAGGACGACCTTCTTAGACGAGAAAAGGATCTAGGCTGAGCCTAGCTTTAGAGATTTGTTAATTAGGTTGATGCAAAAGCCTTGGGACACACATTGCACCTTCTGAAGTCTTAGTTACCAGTTATTCAAACTTACAGTTATTGAGTTACATTACTGTCATCATTATCTATGACGTTCAACCAAGTCGGCTATCGTCTTCTCTCAAAAACAGGAGCACAATAAATTGAAGAAGCGAGGCACAGCATCGAGGCGGCAAAAGTTTTGAACTTTTTCCTGGCGAGGAACTATCCAAGCTGCCTGGCTGAATAGGGGTAATACAGAAAAGGGCAGGGAAAAGGTTGAGAACGGTATCACAGCTAGGTTTCTGTAATTTCGGATGGGTAGTCATTGTGAGTGTGAGAGCAAAGCCTACCGCAGGAGATATACAGAAACCCATCACAATCGCTTGCCCTCAATTGCATGTGTAAGTTCCTGGAGCTGACTCCTGAAGATGTCAGCGTTAGCTGTGACTGTCTAGCCTTGAAGAAGCTCCGGGACTTCTTCCGAGTCTTGGAAGCAGCCAAGCGAAATAGTGGATGCTCTTCGGGTGCTGGCGACTTTCTCGTTATTGTCGGCTCTCACTAAACCCTTGAAAAACTCGTTTCGGTCGAGGGTGAGGAGAGCGAGTGGTTGGCTGAAAAGGTGTGCGACGGTGTCATTTGGAGCGGATTCTCTTAATCATGTTCTTGAAGGTGATGGACGATGTTACTCTCATCACACACAAGATTCTCCTCCAATACTTGCCAACCATCGGCTTCTTCTACTTCGCTGAGAAGTTGGTCATCATCGATAGCAAGTGGTCGTCTAGAACAGGTGAATGAATGGCTAGCGGTCATATGCCTGACGAGGTCCTCTCCGTATGCAGCGTTGATGAGAGATCCAGCGGAAAGAGCCCTGGGCTGGAGCTGCAGCGACGCTCAAGACGATTGCTCGCAGTTGATCTCAAGGCATTTGGGGAATGGTTCACAAGTTACTTGTTTGAGAATTATTGGTTGTAACTCAGACTGGCAAAGGATCTTATAGAAGCACGACGATGAATTCAAATTTGGTCTCAAGACTTTTGCATCAACCTGCTGAAAGGGTTGCTCTCACTGTTGAGTCCACTCGATTTGGAAATATTCAGCAACAGCCATAGGACCGACATTTTGCCAATTATTTGTCTGTATGGATGGGCTAAAATGCAAGAGCAGCCCTGACACTCCTTTTTTGAAAAGATTTTCTTCCAAATATGGAGATGATTCGCTGATCGCACCGCAAACTGTTGCCTGCCCTTGGCTAGCTGCAGCTCACTACTCACTAGTCGGGCTGGAGCAGCTCGCGAGTAGGTGGAAGCTCACTAGTGAGAACTGAGGTTATCTTCAAGGGCTTGGCAATGATTTGATGTGCGCTCATCGAATTCACGTGGCCGGGCGCTGCTCTTTTTTGTTTCCTTCACAGAAATGGCTTCTCGATGCTTTGCCTCCTACTCCAGCAACCCAGAAGACGGATGTGATGGCGGGACGATCGCAAAGGGATGCAGCTCGCTGCTCCGACCACTCACGACAGATCGACAGCTGTGCAACATGAGGGTGACATGAGGATGAGCTGCGCAATAGAGGACGGTACATTTTTATGAGAGAATCCTTGAGGGAATCTGTCACAGCTCTTCTTATTGGATCCTTTTCAGTGGATACGCATCCATACTCTCTCGGATCAGGAATCAGTACATTCGGCACTGACAAGACAAACCTTTATTGAGAAGCTTCCGATCTCATTGTCAGTCAAAATCCACAAGCATAGAATCCCTGAGACGGTCAACTTCTTTCGACGGTTGCGTCGTGAGGCGATCCGAGCTGGGATCAGAAGTATGTATCCACTGATTTTCTCCATATTTCCCACTTTTTCATTGCCCTCAACTCAGGTTGACACCGTCTCCACCGAATCCAGCTCATTTTCCTTTCCTGGAAGACTGTTCGACATAATTTTGGAGCTGTGTTACTGGATCGTTGAAGAGTTCCGCCTAGAGGCACCAGAAATGTATAGGACTACAAGGAGCGATCGACTTGGTTCGACGGTTGTGTCGTGAGGCGATCCGAACGGGGATCACAAGTAGGGCTCCACTAATGTTCCCTATATTACCCACTTTTTTATTGTACACAATTTAGGTCGATATCGTCTCCATTGGAACCGGATCACTCCCTTCTTCTGGTATCTTCGGCGTATACTTGGATCTATGTAACTGGATCGTTGAGCACTTTCGTCTACAAACACTTGGCTACGTGTAAAACTTCGAGGAGCGATCAACCTAGTTCGACACATCTGTCGTGAGGCGATCCGAACAGGGATCAGAGGTATTTACGCTCCAATATTCTCTATATTGCCCACTTCTTGACTGCACTCAATCCAGGTTGACGCCGTCCTTGAAGAGACCGACTCGTTGTCAATAGAGGGCCCCTCATTCGTGTAATAGCGATTCACAGTCATGAAGGCCCGAGACTTGTTCACCGCAAGATCGTCTCGGTAAGGATGCTCAGAGTTCATCTCAGGCGAACCTTGATGAAAAATTTGCGCGAGTCTGAATCCTGAGAAAAGTCTTTGAGCACTTTTGGCCTATCCTGACCTTTTCAGCCGCAGTCTCAGCCACTTTCTGCGAAATTTGTCTCCAGAGGTCTACTTTATGTTCATAAGTAAATCTACATGTTCAGGTCGCCACTGCAAAGGTCCAACCGGGAAGCAGGCAGCCTCCTATTTTATCGATAGGTGATCCGATCAGGGATCAGGAGTATGTGGTCAATGGTCATTTTAACCTATTTTTTCGCTTAGATTTGACAATTTAGATAGGTATGGCTCGCAAAAACCGTCCGTCTGGCATCACTCGGATCTCTTCAACTACCAGCTTGAACACCAAAGTCTGCAAGGAAGAACTAGTTCGAAAAAATTGGCTGGACCGGTATAATAAAATCAGGAAAAGGGCTTCCCCGGGGGATAGCGGCGAAGTTATGACTCCTAAAGCAAACGGATTACGGTTTAGGTTTGTTGACTTAGTTCTTCATGAATGGTTCAACTTCCAATTCAGACTACCCACTTTTGCAGATCGGGCGTTGCGACATCGACGGGAGCCACGGGGAGCCGACACAAGAAGCCGACGAAGTGATACTCTAACTTGTACAGGTGTGATTGGCTTGAAATGTGGGCACCTAGGTTTATTGTTTCATTGCCTTAGTAGTTTTATTTTCAATATTTACTGAGTTGTTTGAGTTCGTTTTGCTTTATTTCTAACATTTTTTACATGTGTTTGGCCAATAGGTAACCTCAAGCGTTGTTTTTTACTTTGTAGCTCTGGGGTTAGTATTTAGGTTAGGTTAGGCTAGTTCACTAATTGTTCTTCCTCAAGCTTAGTTCAGTGGGACGCAAAATGACTGTCGCTATCTACGCAAGAGCTTGCTCTCGAAGGAGGACAGCTGCAATATTTTGGCGGGCATTTCTTTAGGTCCCTTAGGTGGCGATTACGACGCAGTAACGCTGGGAAAAAATGGGGACGAGGAATGAGGAGAGTGGAGTTTCATTGGGTGCTCTCACCTTGCTGATCAGTTTTTTTTATTTGTTCTGTCCACTTCCTTCTTTTTTTGTTTTTGTTGAAGTCGCCCGGGGCAACCCAAACAGTTTACTTATTTCGCAGTTCTTTCGCTTGCCCTCGGTTAAAACAAGTATGATCTCTATAACCACAAGTTTTTGACGATTGGGTACATAGGGGTGATCATAGGACTACCAGGGGCTGCTGATTTCTCGTGATGTTAAGAACCCTAGTTTCGCTTTTTGAAAACTAGCTGCTGTCTTCCTTTTGAGTGCAGCGTTGCGTTCTGCGGCTGAGTTTAGCGTTTCAAGGGACTTGGACATGAGGAATTTCGATTAGTGAACGACTAGTGGGGTTAGGATAGGGGTCTATTAGTCACCTAGGTGCCCACACCTACCAGTCACCCTGTGATACCCACCCTAAGTTTTCCCATACAAAGTAGAAGGCTTGTACCTTCTGAAGAATTGATCCCTTCCGCAATGAATCCCTGCGCTGTTTCCCGCCGATGGACTCGACTTTCGAGGTCCACAGAGGGGGCGTGGCCTGTGACGTCGTGTGCTCCCTTCGTTTTACATTCGTCTCCAGTACAACCAGGTTGTGCATTAGCGGACGATGTCAGTAGCAGATGGAAGCACAGATTGACCGCTCAGGAGCATTGCACCTTACAAGTTGTAAATGGGCAGCCACCTACCTACGGAAAGCGATGGACAGGACTCCTGCTCTCATTGGACCACACCAATCAATACCCACCGATCATATGCGATCTCTGCAAGTACATCAATCACACGGTATCGATCTGTTCGTTACGAATCGAGGATCGGAATTGGAACGTTCAGCACGCTACTGTTGCCTCATCACTGTACGGAATGTCTCGATGTTATGTCAAATCGTGGTGCTGCTTGCCTAATAATGAGGAATCATCAGGAATGACCGCGCTTGGGGTATGCAAAGGCAGCCAGTGAAGGCACAGTTCACGATAATTTTGGGGTGTCTAAATTTAGCCGAATAACGGTAGTGTTAATCCTTAACAGTCAAAAAAACAACTAAATCACGGGTTGGACGACGTTGTGACGAGAAAATTTGCAGTGGGGGGGGGGGGGGGGGGGG